CATAGCAGTCTCATTCACCCGTGCTAGTACTGGCTGTAGATCATCAAAGCTTGAGGCTAGCATGGCGTAGGCAAGGTCAGTCAGCTGGCGTCCGGGTGCAAAACCACATCGTCATGAAAGTGTAAGACCTTTCCGAGAATTTTGTCAATGGCGTAGTGAAACACAATAGGCGACAAGACGCAGCCTTGTCGAACACCCAACCAGATATCCAACGGCTGAGAGAGATTTTATGAACCAGTACTCGCGCGGTGGTGGATTGGTAGTAAACCCAGATCATGGCAATGATTTTCGTCAGTACTCCGTCTAGTTCCATTATTCGGTACAAGAAACCACAATGGACGGAATCGAACGCAGCGGTGAAGTCAACAAAGCAGATGGCCTGCAACTGCTTATTCGCCAGACCCAGCAGCCTGCTTATTACTCGGCTAACCTTCGCTAAAAGCCGTTCCACTACCAGTTTCCTGTGGACGCACCAGGTAAACAGCAGATATGCTCTAAAACAGACGGTCCTCTGTTTGTTAAGGTCCAGGTGGAGTCAACGTGAATTGAATATTTTTTAAACCTAGCCTGCTTTCAGTCCATAACTTTGGCCAGCGTTTTCTGGCTCAACTTCCTGACTTAATAAGCTGATGAGATACATGCGTTCAAATATTCCTTCCTGATTTTCGAGCAGAGGACTTACTCCCGCTAGATTTTTATCAAAGTGAGATTCATCTTAGCATCTGTCGACTCAAATCTGCTTCGTTTTTGAACAAGCGGATGTCGCTTTTAGGTCTGCCTTGTAGGCGCCGCTGTTACGAATTTTGTAATGACGTCATTGCTCTTACCATCTTTCGAAGCCTATATGGATCTCATTCTATTGTCTGAATGCTACCTTCCTTGTGAATCAAAATAAATCATTCTGCGGTGTCAGTGCTGAATCGCAAAAAGAGCTACTGTAGTGTGATTTTTTTCTCTGATCATCGTGACTGATCGTGATTGTTGAACACAATTTATGACTGCCTCAAACATCACGAATGTGTACGCGCACGTGATGGATTTATCGTTGGTGCGCATATTCCCACAACACTGGTGCCTGATAGGCTTCGAACTGCTCTTGTAGATACCATTGCTAGGAAAACGCTTTTTTTGAAAAAAAATAAAGTCAGTTTTAGGTAGCAAGTCACGCCTTGTTCGAGTTTATTCTTCAGTCTGCTGAGTAAGCCGAAGTCACTAAAACATCCACTCATTTTGGGGAAATAAATTTAATCCGTTTCCCTATGTTACAGCGAACCTCGCATCGTTCTTCCCTCCTCTCTTCGGATGAAGACATTGATGACAATATGCTTTCACGACTTCTCATCGTGGAGTCGTCTGGGTCCCAGACTTCTCACCCGATTCCCCTATCGCATTCTGCTGGTGGTCGCGCCCGACTGCACCTGAAGGAACCCTCGTCGGAGTCACGAGTCTCCTCATCATTGTATGTTGCCTGCCCCCCCCTCCACTTACTGCCCTATTTCTTTGTCTGTGTCCGTCTGCTTCCTTTCTGACTCTAATTCCATTTTAAAAGGTGTAGACGCGATCGCTCGCCTGACGTTTCGGAGACAGCATGAGCTAGGACTAATTCCTACGAAAGGCGTTGCAACATTTGTGGAATGCAGTCGCTAAATGAATCCATAACTATGACAATAAAGGGGCTCGCCCCCTTCACCGACGAAGGTTGCCCTTTAGTGTAATAATTCAATGGTGGCTGTTAGTCGCCATATTTCAGCGACCGCGTCTACTTCTCGAATCCTTTCTGGAACTGAACTTTTCACCTGTTTCACCAATTCTGTTTGTTTATTATGAAATGGTTATTTTCGGCTTCGTATTATCAGTATCAAGTGACGCCTCGAGTTGGCCGTATTCCAAGCCACGGATTTTATCGCTTCAGCCGTCTGCAAGTGCGTTAGGCTGTTGATATTGTGGAAAGTATGCACCCATGTTAATGCAGTTTGCTTTCGGACGTACCCTGTAATAGGAATCACTACTAAAATTAACTCCGAATCAGGAACGGCTGTACGATTTACCCTCCCATATGGTACCTCCACAATTAAGTCGAGATCGACTTCCGAAAGCAGGGCGTAGTAGCTCGTTTGACGCTGTTTACATAACACACAGGACCCGAGTGGCAAGGGCGTTTCAAACAATCTTGCATTGAAGGCTTTATAAAGTCAACTTCGTTAACGTTGGTAAGCCTTCAGAACTGACTTCACCCTCCCAGATTCCTTTAAAGGTTATGTAACTTGCTGCAGAATTGAAGTGTTGAATAGGGGACTAGTTTGCATGAATTCCTGGCCATTGGAACCAACTATTCGCACCAGCCGTGAATAAACGTGGGTTGGAGGCTTTAACTGCAAAACGAATGCCATAAAAAACGATCCTGTCACTCCAGTGTATGCGTGCCCGCGTGTCTGCGTTTGATGTCTAAACTGGAGCTTCTGTTGTCTAACGAAGAGTAAAACACTTACTCGAGAGCTTTTTCTTTGTTAAAGTTTAGCCGGTCGATTTAAGGTATTACATTTTTGCTTCCAAA